AATAAATATTTATCATGCGGTCAGGTCTCTGAAGGTAGCAGCAAAAAAGACTAGAAGTGTGAGTTGTTTTGATAAACTTTCACTGGATTTCCTAACGCGCTGCATGTCCTCTGTGTGCAGTGTTGTTGTCTTTCACAACTTGTGTGCTAGAGGATTTCTAATTTGCATGTAAAAATGAATTCTGTTAGTCACTGGATATACTTTTCTTGGCTAAACTCATGCCCTCTCGGGCTTGTATTCAAAACAGAGCAGCTGTTTTGTGGGTGTAACTATCGGAAATCTGTCTGACACAATTTCGTCCTAGTAACTGAACGCATACCTGGCATGGAGCTCCTGGGAGATTTTTTTTCATGCCTTCCTGTTGAACTTCAGCATAGGGTTTACATTTCCTTTTTATACAAACTGACTTGTGGAAATAAATGCCAAGCTCAGCAATCCCCTGGGCGAGTGCCAAGGTGCCTCTGGCAGGCTGTGTGCGGGGGAGCTGCCAGCCCAAACCCACTGTGGCATCTCAGCACCCTGCGAGTGGGAAGCAGGGGGACCACCTGCTGTGTTCTTGGTCTCACGGGAGTTTGCACTTTGAGGACACTGTTCCTGTTGGAAGACACTCCCAAGATTGTATTTGTCCCAGTGTGGGGTGGATAGTCAGGGCTTAACTGCAGAGCTGAAGCCTGTGAGATCCCGCAGCAGAGCTCCTGGGGGTGCACACCTCGATGGAAGGCAGGGGATGCTGAAGCAGGAATGGTGTCTAGCTGCAGCTGGAATTCCTTGTGGGGATTTTGCAGTGCTCTCACTGGGGAGTACCGGGCTGCAGTGGCAGGTTGGGGTCTGAGTAATTGCAGACATCTGTCCACTGCTGTGCCTGGGTCCTCAGGGATGCTGCTGGGGGCTCTCACTCAGCCTCTCTGTGCAGGGAGGGCTCTGGTGCAGCCCTGAACCTCTGCACCCACAGGGCATCCTGGGCCAAACCTGCTCTGTGCCCAGGCACTCTGTGGGTGGCAGCAGCTGAAACAGCTGAGCGCATCCTGAAATGGAAATGACACTTGGATAAACTTACTGCCTTGGGAATGTTGTGCTTCAATTGACACTCCTGTGAGATCATGAAAGTCACTTTGTATCCATGTTGCTGTGCACAACTGGGATAAGTGTTCCAAGAAATTGTTGTACCTAAATGTAGTAAGCAAGGAGTAGATTTTTTCAAAGTGAATGAAGTTGAAAAGAAACTAGCAGAGGCATTTAGTGGTCAGAAGCATTCTCTTCACTCACTTCCACTGGAAGAAACAAACATCTCCCATGCTACATTTAGTGGAAATCTGCCAGTGAAACTGTTCAAGTTGTCACATTTAAATATAATCACAGCAACCTACAGGAACTAGGTTAATATTTGTATTAGCTGGAGGAGAATGGTTCTGCTTTCCTCATTTGGTTAATAATACCTTCCATAATGTGCCAAGGTAACTATCATTTACTGCAGTTTCCATTGTCTCTCTATTTATACTATATATAGAATAAAAACATGTTTCTCTGCTCTTTGGTCAGACACAGCTTAAAAAAAAAACCAAACCACCACAAAAACCAAACAAACCAAAACAAAAGAGGCCCCATTAAGTAATCTAGAAAGAAGCACTAATTCTAAGGGGACTTCAAATGCTATAATTACAGTTCTGCTGCACTTAAAAAAGTTATTTAAGTACCACCTGCACTTAAAAGTCAGTGGTGCAACAAAGACATAAAATAAAGCCTCTTCAACTTCTTCAAGTCTAATTAAAAAAAACAAGACCATGGGTAAACGTGTTAAAAAGAAAACATCTCCCATGTAAATAGTACCTTTAAAATAGCCTTCTTTTGTTCTGTGGCTGTTTGCAAACCCCAGTCTGGCAGCCTATTTAGATTGCTTCATTGTCCGTTGGTGCACTACAGGCTCTTTCACCATTTCATATCAGTATAAACTGTATTATTTGCCTTCTCAGCTTTCTTCATTTTGTGTAGTTCAGGTTGAAATCCCTTATGATTTGGCACATTATTCTCTTTCCTCCTGTTCCACAAAAGTCAAGTAACATACCAGACTCCATAGTGAATCTTCAAATACATGAATAATGTGTATTCCATTAAGAGAGAGTAACAATATCCCATTAAGAACAGTAGATTATTTCTTGCTTGCCAAACTGTACTTGTATGTTAGTTTAAACTTTCTTTGACTTAGTAACTGTGGAAGGAATCTGATGCAGCCCACATTCTGTCATTTACATCATGTTGTCAAGTACAGATTTCTGAGATCTTTGCTGTTAGCATTTCCTAGCAATGTGTAGGTGTGAAATATGCCTTCTTCAAACCAAATTCCATGGTTATAGTCAGTGATTTGGTCACCTAGGAAACTTTTAATAATGGATCCAGTTGGCTTGATGATGCAATTCTGGTATGATCAGATTTTTCCAGTTCCCTGTAACTTGAAAATGTAGTGCTTGAACAAAAAGTAGTCTTAATTTCCTTCATAGAGGAAAAACCTCCTCTGCCTTCAGTTCTGTTTTAGTCACAGTCTAAGATACAATGGTATTTATTCTTTTTGTGGTGATTTCAGTAGAATTACTTGAAATTGCATGATCTTTGTAATGAACTGTTTGGAAGGTATTGAGCCATTATTTCCCTGTTTCTGTCTCTTTGTGCATCCATGTGAACTCATTGCATTGTGAGGTCCTCCTGTCCTTTTGAGATGTATTTGGAGGATTTTCTTTTGATTCTTTGCTGCAAAAGTCTACTAGCACTTAAGGGGGGAAAAAGGTGGAGCAAATTACCTTCCAAATCTGGCTTTCCAAAATTTTGGATGTTCAAGTTGAGTTGATGGAAGAATTTACAATATTTCCAGTTTCTTCTTTGTTGCATATTGTATTGGTGGAGTGTCAGTCTGGTTTGGTTGAGCCAGCAGTTAAAATTGTCTCTAGGACTTTTGAGGAAAAGGATTGTGTCTTGCCCCACTGTTCACAGACATGCCTCCCAGACCTCCCCACCCATGGGGGGAAAAAAAAAAAGGCAATAGGAGGATGTGAGAGAAATCCACAAAATTGTGTGTAGTGGGGAGGGCAGGTAGAGATGTCATCTGTAGCGGAGGAACTTGGGCAGTGTCAGATAAAATTGCTCAAGGCACAGGTTGGTTTTGGTGGTGTAGGTACTGGGCACAGGGTGCTGTCACTGCTTAAAGGTTTCACCTGTTCAAGGAGTGTCTGAGGAACAGCAAGGTCACAAAGCAGATCAAGTGTTCTGCAATTTGCAAAAACACCACCTGAGCCAGGAAGACCCTTAAACTGAGACCAGTAGCAAGAGCAGAGAAAGTGTCACATTTGTTTGTCTTGTCCCTGCTCTACCCCACGTACACCAGTGGAGCTGCTGGTGAGGATGGAGCAGCCAGACCACTGTCAGACCTGGCAGGATGCTCTGGAGGTGACCAGGGCTGAATCTGAGCTGTATTTCAGTGGAAACATGAGTGCCACATGAGACTGGTGCAGAGTTTGTCCGCTGTACTTCAGACAGACTTGAATTTCATTAGACCATAAATTTCATTTATGCTGCTCTACAAACTATGTATGCATTCTGACAGGTATTTCTGCCTGAGTCAATACACTTGAAGTATTGGCTGCAGAGCATTGCATGAGTGAGTTGCAAGGTGCATTTCTTCTACAGCGTGGGAACTGGGTCATCATCTTTTGTGTTAACTTTTGCTGGTGTCACATAAAACAAAATGGGAAGTGGTCAGTGGTTTGAATACACTCAGGATGATGTCCTGGATGTCTGAGGGCTGCTAAAGCTGTGGTGGTGGATGAGGTTGAAGAGTTAATAGGAATGTTTTCCATAGCAGACACTTCTTGCACATGTTACTGGATCGAGGAAGGTAAATCCAGAAGATGTTTTTTTGGCAAGTAATGCAGTAACAGGCACTCTGTCTGGAATACTCATCATAGGTGATTAATTTTATTTTATTGTAAGGATTGATCTCATGGGCTCTGGTTAGAGCACAGCTATTGCTTGAGCTGGGCCTGAATTGGGGAAGCTGCACTGTACTCTGACATCCAGATTGGTTTGATTAAATACTTGACTTTAGATAGGGATAAAACCTTCTCATAGCTTCAAATTATTTAGTTTCATTATGCAGCATATTACATAGGGTTCAAAATGTTGTTCAGTAGTTTAATTGGGAAGCTATTTAGTGGAAATTCATGATCCCATTTGAACTGTGTTAAAAGCTCTGGAATGTGAGGAGAAAATTGGTTGCATGGTCACTTGCCTGTGTGCAATAAGAGGGCAAAATTACCGGTGCTGTAATGTACCTGTGCTCTGAATAAAAAAACCAACCAAGCAAACTCCTTGCTCTTTTGTCTCTGTCCAAGGACTTAAAAGCATTAAACGCTGTTTGTTGGGGGATTGGTTTCATTGGTTGGGTTTTTTTTGACTTATTTTCATGGAGAGTATGCACTGGTGGCTTTCAGGGGAGCTACTGGGCTCGGGTGAAGTTCTCTTACCACCACTCATTTCTGTGGTAAGAGGTAACAGGATTAGCTCAGACTGAAAAGTAGTAAATTTTTTTTTGTTTTGAAGATTTCTTCTTGTCCAGTAAGATTTCTTCTTGTTTTTGTGTCTTGAACTAGTTGTTTACAGAGTAGATAGACTTATTTGCTTTGTCTTCCCGAGGATAATTTTAAATACAGCACCTTGGCCATAGCAGTTGTTGTTTGGCAATATCTCACATCTGTTCTGTGGCAGCATATTTGCCTCCTCTCTTTGAATGAGATGCAGAAAGTTGTAGAGCCCCCTGAGTTAGTGCTGTTGTTCATTGCATTTTGTCAAAACTGTGCCCTGAAAGCATATTAATGTATGTTCTTTCCTTTTCTTCCTCAGATAAACTTCTAGTCTTTACTGTAGCAACTAACTAGTGCTGTTGTTCATTGCATTTTGTCACAAACTGTGCCCTGAAAGCATATTAATATATGTTATTTCCTTTTCTTTCTCAGATAAACTTCTAGTCTTTACTGTAGCAACTAAAGAAACCGATGGCTTTCACCGTTTCATGCGAACTGCAAAGCATTTCAACTACACAGTAAAGGTATTGTGTGTTTTGTACCAAGTATTTGTGCTGTCCATGCTGTAAAACAACCAGTAAATGGTAGCTGACCTTGCCTTAACTTCATTGTGTGCTGGGACAGAGAGAAACAACAGCAGAGCTGGGGGGCAGGAAGGGCACTTGCTGCTCTCCCTGTTGCTTACCTGCTGGTGTCTCTCTGAACCACCGTGGCAGGGAGGTGCTTCCACTGCCTTAGGAGCTGCTTTAGGGGTTTGTAGCTGTCATGGTCAGCATCCTCCTCACTCACAGGCTCTGGCACGTTTTATCTCAGAGCCTTGTTTTTCAGTGTGGCCGATTTTGTTTGTATAAACACTTCTGGGAGCTGTACTGCACTCAAGGCTTTGGATCTTTTTCCTTAAGCAAGGCTGGAGCACTGCTGCAATGAAGGAGGGAAATTTTGTTTGCATGAACACTTCTGGGAGCTTTGGATCTTTGGATCTTTTTCCTTAAGCAAGGCTGGAGCACTGCTGCAATGAAGGAGGGAGGCTCACAACTGAAAATTTCTCTGTGTTTCCCAGGAGCCTGTAATTTCTGAGAGGACAATGTGTTTCTATCATTCTTTCCAGCCTTTTCTGCCTTGCTCCATGCCTCTGTATGTCACGTACTTAGGTTGGCCTCTGCATGACCTTGGGAAAAAGGGAGGGCACTAACCTTCTAAACTTTCCCCACAAATTGGTTTTGCCAAGAGAAAATCCAGGAATTCAGATATTCAGATGCTGTTATGAAATTTTTCTTCTTACTTACCACAGTGCTTGCACTATAAATAGGAAATTATTTGTGTCTTTGACTTTTATCACTGAATTTGGAGGACTGAGAGAGCCTTTCTTAATATGATAAAGCTGTACTAGAGCACCTGAGCAGCCTGAGCTCTGGATACATCTTTTAGCTTTGCAGATTTGTCCAAAATATCATGCAGTGTAGTTCTTTCAGCCTTTATATGTTCCAAAAACCTTATGTTCAAAACACATAAAGAGCTTTTTTTTTTTTCTTTCTTTTTTTTGGCATGTAATCTGCTATAGTGCTTGGCTGGGGAGTAGTTTTATGTTTAACTCAGTTTTAGCAGTGAGCTGTGTACTGGGAAACCTATCCTTCCCTTTTCGTACAAAAAACTTGCAATTCAAATTAGTTATACCTTGATCCACCAAGGTCTTTTGTGCCTCCTGGTCCTAAAGGGATATTATTGAATTTTTAAAGTCTCATTCAGAATGTTTTTCTAATACAGATTTTGAAACAATCCTTGGCTTTTTTTTTTCTTTTTTTCCTTTTTTCCTGAAGGAGACACATTTGAATAAATGGCAGTAGCAGGCAATTGCTTGATTCTTATTTGGTTAAGAAATGTCTCTCTCATGTTTTTGCAGTGATGTCATTGTGCTGAATGTTGCTTCAGACATGGAAAACCGATGGTGCTGGAAGTGCTGGCTTGCTATGCTTTAATGTGTTACTTCTGCTTTAGCATCTGTTTTCAATAAGGGTGTGCTTTGAAAAAGCCTCATGGGTTTGGGTACTAGCAAAAAGTGCTTTTTTTGCCCTTTTATTCCAGGTTCTTGGAAAAGGTGAAGAATGGAAAGGTGGTGACCAGCCCAACTCTATTGGCGGAGGGCAGAAAGTTCGACTGCTGAAAGAGGGCATTGAAAGCTATGCTGACCAAGAGGACTTGGTTGTACTGTTTGTGGAATGGTGAGCAAACCTGGCTCCTTGTCTTTGTTTTAATTTGGGTAGATATGCAAAAGTAGCTGCTGTGACATGCTGAAAGTTGTATGATGCTTTTGTTCTTTACTGTTTTATTTTGAGAGAGTTGGCGTCTTTTTTTCTTCATTCATAAAAATAGTGGATTGCTTTTGGAGCAGTTGTTACTTTTTAACAGATTTACAGATGTAAGAGCGGTTCATAGTTCTGCTGCCTCGAGAGGGTAAAAAAATGTTGCTGGGAGCTGAGAGGCTTTTAGGCAAGCATTTGTCCTCTCCCTGTTCAGCTGCAGTGAGAGCAGGATGTGGCTGCAGGCTGGGAGTGTGGATGGGAGGGGGAGCAAAAGCAGCTCCAGAAATAAAATGTCCAATAGGGACCAGAGGCATAACCTTGTTCCACGAAGTAACAGTGATATGGAGGAAGCTGGAAAATGGCTCCCTGAGGAAAGCATTTAACAGGAGAATGTGTTAGAGAGCTGAAACAAGAGTCTTGGTGTCAGATGTAGCCTGATGCCTGTGCTCTCTGTGTGATGGAAGCACAGAGAGACAGTGCTGCTGCAGGTGCCAGATTGTAGCTCATAGCACAGCTATGCTTGAACATCCTCCCTGCAGGCCAGATAGGCTTCTTCTGTCACAGAGAGCACAGAGCTCAAATGTATCCAAAACACTTTCTCTACTGCTTCCCTCTTCCTTTTCTCTTCCTCTTATTTTCCTCCTGTGCCAGCAGCATGATCAGAGTAGCTCAGAATCCAGCTTGCAGCAGACACCAGGTTCTTCCACACTTGTGTTAACCAGAGCAGGGTCACAGCTCTGAAACAATCACTGCAGGGAAGGCGTGGGACCAGGTCTGGGATCAGGGACAGGAAGCTCCAGTGGCTGACAGGTAGCCTTGGAGAGGGTAGCTGAGTGTGGGCTTGGAGAGATCCATTGATGAGTTCACCCATGCTGCTGTTACCACGTCATGCTGGAGTGTCTGCTCCAGAATACTCTTTCAGCTTTTAATCTGCTTTATTTATTTAAAACTTATTGAAGAAACTTAGGGGCACTTTTTCAAGGCAGGAGCTTGGTAGCATTTGGATCATCACAAGGCAAAGTGGCTAGACACTGGCAATTTATGGAAAGTTAATTTGTTTTGCATAAGTTAACACTTTGGGAAAGTTGGAGTGGCCTATTAAACTGGTAGTAAATTCAAATACGTTGCTTAATTTTCTGTTCCAATTTTACCTCTTGTGATGAATAAAAAATACCTAGAAAGCAAAAAATTGTCACTAATTTATAAATAAACATAATAAGGGATGCTTATTATGCTGAATATTTTTTATGCTTGCTTAGGTTTGTAAAAGTTACCTAGTTTGGAGATACATATCAAGTTTTTGAATTTTTTTTATTGACTTGTTCAATTCTGTATTTGCTAAATGGAAAAATAATCTTTCTAAAAGTAAATATATTGTTTGTTCATAGTGTTGTCCTGCTAATCATACAAGAACTGAAACTTTCAAAGGTTAATTTCAAAAATTTTGTTCTGTGCTAAAGCTCAGATAAAACGAACATTTCCCAAATGTTTTCTACTTACATTGAATTTCTTTGTTTCTGAATTTATTATCCTAATTCATCGCTATTTTCTTCCTATGTGGTAAAATATGCAAATTTATTATCACATTTGTACAGAGGTCTAGCTCAAATTTTTCTCCATCATAATTTGCTCTCTGGAGGGGCAGGCTGTCTGCTGCAGGGGTGAGAGAGTACAGAGGACCATGTGTGTCCAAGTGCAAAAGCCATAATCTTTCTTCCCATGAAAAATCACAGGATTTAAGGCCTCCCAAGTTCCAGAAGTCCGAAATCCCAAGTACATATTTGTTTAAAGCTGGTGGAACTGATTCCAGACAGGAGAGAAAAAAACAGTCTGCTGATTCTAGCATTATATTTTAATTCTAATGAGCTTTTGCATTTCCAGAAATCCTGGTTTGCAATTTAAACGCGGATCAATGTAGCAGTAAGTTTGGAAAAGACAAATGTCATGAACTTCCTTTCTTCTTCAAGTGTTTTTTATTATATTCATTGTGAAGCATTTGGAATATTAATCTTGGGGGTGGGGAAAGGAAATGTCTGGTTTGCTTACTGTAACTAGCAAAGTAATTTTTAGGGAGCTGTTTACTTAACAAACTTAGTTCCTTGGTGTGTTTTTTTTTTTTCCAGCAGTTTTTTCTATGGCTCAGAATTCTGGAAATAGTTTGAGCTTCTTCTGTGGACAGCTTGTGCCTATGTGTAGATAGCAAAATGCCTGCAGATGGAACACTATTTAAATTAGGCTTGTTTTTTCCTCCAGCCAACTTCTGGTTTATTTTGGACCATTTTATATTGAACTGGCTAATGGCCAATGTAGACTGGATAAATTGGTTGGTGCTGTGACTGTTCATCCAGAACTCTCACAGACATCTCTTTGTATCTTGAAGCCTCTCAGTTTGTTGTTTGTTTTGTTGTATTTATTTAAACATTCATCAGAAACTAAGGGATAATTATATTTTCTATGTATCTCAAAATGGCTAAGGTGTGGCCCTGGTGGGGACACAGTCTATGTGACAAAACAGTTTTGTGTCTGTTTTGTGACCTTGCTAGTCGCTAGTAGGCACTGTCTTATATTTTGAGCTCTTACCCTGCAGCTCCAGTAGCAGCAAGTTCTCATTGTTGAAGTTGTGGATGCAGAACTTGCAAGGTCAGTTCTAGAGCACCTGAGTCTCTGCTGCTGTTTCCCTGGGTTGCTGGGAGTGCAGGGTGCACAGCCAGCATGCTTTGCTGCTGCAAAAGAGAGGGAGGGAGGGGTGGATTCCAGTCCCAAGCATCTGCCATCTGGGAGCTTCAGGAAATGGGATTAGGTTGTGGAAACTTTCTGGTTTCTTTTTTTCTTTTTTTTTTCTTCTTGCTTTCTACTTAAATTGAAGGATTTATGAAGAATAAATAAAAGAGTATCTGAGCTGTTTCTGCTTGCCAGGGAAGCCTGTTTTTTCCTGGATATGTATACAGTCTTTTTCCCTGTCAAATTTTGAAGTCCTGTTTAAAGTAAGTCATTGTGTCACCCCTAATAATAGTATAAAGTGTCAAGGATAGTCTTGGGACCTGTTTTGTGATGGCTTTAGTGGTGTAGACCTGATGTGAATCCCCCCTTGCTGCAGGAGGTGGGGGCTGACTAGGCTGAATGTAATCTGACAGAGCAGGTGAACAAGGCAAATGATGCATTTCAGGTGTTAAGAAGTTTTCCTTTCCATGCAGAGAAAAGTGGGAGCCTCACAAATCAGCTGATGAGGGTACTTTTAGCAAGGAGGGTTGAAGGCTGGTGGAGGTCCTGCCCAGGAAGAGGTGTGGTGACAGCAAGTCACCTCTTGACAAGAGGGCCTTGACCATTAATGGCAAATGTAGGTTCCTGCTGGATTAGCATAATATCCATTGCAGTTTAGCAGCTCAGCTCTGGGTTTAGGATTATAAACTGTGCTGTACTAAGTAGCATATCCCTTTCACAAGCAGAGCCTGTGGCTGGCCCAGCATGTTGCTCAACTTTGGCTTTCTTTCGCAGAATGACAGTCCTTGGAAGCAATGTTCCAGGGTGTTTGGTTCCTTCCTGCAGCTGGAAGTGCTAGCAGCAGCAGCACTGCCCTGATCACGGAGGAGAAGCACAGCTTGCCATGAGCTATTAAGCTAAAGCCTCAGACAGATCTCTTTTTGTCTGTCTTCAATGTGTCTCCTGTTTCTTGTGTGTTCTACAGGCTCGGTCTGGCATTGAGTCGGGCTACAGAAATTGAATGGAAAGGGGAGTGAAATGTATTCCTGTAAATTTGGGCAGAAACAGGCTTTTTTTTGTGAAACTGGGGAAGGTCCAAAATATACAATTTCTGTCATGCATTCTTCTGCCAAAGTTGCAGAAAAACATAACAGAGTTTTCAGAAAACCACTTACTTATATACTACATAACACAGTTCCTCTCCAGGGTTTATACTTTGCTTTGTGGTGAAAATCTTTTTTTACATTTGTAAGCCAGCTGTTGTTCAGTTCTCTTAGGCCAATTTCATGAAATCCTTTTTGAAGAAATGACATCTTGAATAATTTCAGAACTGTAATAAAGGAGTACCATAAGACAGTAATGGTTGATCTGTTGACACTTTTGCTGGGTAATCCATTGCAATGCAAAATATTCTGTGTAGTGCAGGTGGGGTGCTGCTGTCCTAATTAGCCCAGCTAAAACGCTTTGCAAGAAAAGTCTTAGTCAAGGTTAGACCTTGGTTTTTGGTAGCTCTACTGTTACTTTGCCTGTTATCAGGGCTAGTGATTTTCAATTTTTAAGGTATGTGAGTAGAGCAAGAATATTCCTGTTTTCAGATGAGGAAACTGCAAGGCTGTGATGCTGCCATTAAATTATTTTGCTGCTTCAGCCAGAGACTAATCTGTGATGTGATTCCAATTTCGCTGTGACATTCTTCATGCTGTGTAAAGTGAACCTTGAAGTGGGAGGCATTGGCACAGGTCACCCAGAGCAGCTGTGGGTGCCCAGTCCCTGGCTAATTCTGAGTTCCAGGCCAGACTGCATGGGGCTTTGAGCAGGCTGGTTTAGTGTGTGGCATCCCTGCCCATGGTGGGGGGATTGGTTTGTTTGCTTGGTGGTGTTCCCAACCCCCTGTGCCCACCAGGCATTGATTTAGATTTGGCTCAGCCATAAGAAACCACCAGGCTTGGGATGCTCCATTCCTGCAGGACCTTGGCCAAACCAGGCAGGTTTCATTCTGGTTTGGCACACTGTTGACCTTTGGCTGTGTCTAACAGCCAAAGATGAGCCCCGCCACCTTTAGGTCTTTATCCTCAATAGGAATTGTGACTCAAAGGCAGGTAAAGTTTTTCATAAATAGGTATTGTGATACTTTGAATCTTTTAAGTCTTCAGCACATTAAAGAGGTTGAATGAGAAATCTGTGCCTTGTCAGGATGCAATACACTTTTTATGGGCAACTAGAGTTCATTGAGATCTAAGTACATTCCTGATAAGACTTAGAGGAGTCAGTGCTGTTGTGTTTAGGAACAAGATTTTCCCAGTTAAAGTCATCTAAGTCATCTTTCAGTCCTACTTTTTTTTTTATGGGCAACTAGACTTCATTGAGATCTTAGTACATTCCTGATAAGACTTTTTAGAAGAGTCAGTGTTGTTGTGTTTAGGAACAAGATAATCTAGATTTTCCCAGTGAAAGTCATCTAAGTCATCTTTCAGTCCTACTTTTCATCTGTTAAAGTTTGATATTTTTAGTTGTTGTTCTTAAGCAAAAAACATGAAATAGCAAAAAGGAATTTCAGATAAACAAAATGTGAAGAAACAAGAATGTCCAACTAAAGAAATAGGAAAAAGGAATTTCAGATAAACAAAATGTGAAGAAACAAGAATGTCCAAAATGTGGAAGGCTAAAAAGCAGAAGGAGAAACTACTTTGGATAAGTAGTTTCTCTACTAGAAATTCAGTCTCTCCTAGAAGGGATTGAATTTTTACATGGTGGTTAAATATTGTTTAATTGAGTCATTTTTCAGAATGAAAGGGCACTGATTGAAGTTCCTCTCCTAGAAGAGTATTGAATTTTTACATGGTGGTTAAATATTGTTTAATTGAGTCATTTTTCAGAATGAAAGGGCTGTTTGATTTTTAAATATGAATAGTCCAATGACTTGTTTTGAACACAGAAATATTACAATGAAATTAACCTCATGGGTGTATTTTCTTTCCTTTTAAGCTATGATGTTATCTTTGCTGGGGGCCCTGAAGAGCTGCTAAAGAAATTTCAGGAAACTAATCACAAAGTGGTGTTTGCAGCAGATGGACTAATTTGGCCAGATAAAAGGCTGGCTGACAAGTATCCTGTTGTCCGGAGTGGGAAACGATTCCTGAACGCAGGAGGCAAGTGGGATCCTCAAACACTTGAACTTGAGCATGACCCGTCTCTGTTATCTGTTCTATGTCCTTGTTGCATGTGGAGCTGTTCCTCAATTACCCAAGTACAAAACTGATGACTGGATATGCTGTCATCTTCCTCCCCTCCCCACTTGAATTGTTCCTCTTCTGTGCTCAGGCATAGTTTTCATTCAAATTTGCACAGTGTGTGTTTGGCAATAACTTGTAAAAAGCAGATAAATATAGTCAGGGTCTAGCAAGCAGCTGTGTGTGGCAGTGTAATGCTGTGCAAGGATGACCCCATTGCTGCAGAAACAATGCAGTGCACAAGCCCAGCAGAGCAGCATGTGCTATTTATAGCCTGGTCACAGAATTCCCAAACTTGGCTGCCTGGTTCCTGGAGATCTCTGCACACAGGGTGGATGTGCTGGCAGCTCAGCCTGGCCTGGCAGCATGGCTTACACAGCTCCTTCTACAAGGAGTGGGAGCTACTCCTGTAATCTCAATGACGGATGAATTCTGAAATTCTCCTTTAAATGCCAGCTTTGCTAATAATTTTGCACTTGATTAATGCATGCACTGATACAAACACTGTGCTGTGTAGAAGCTATTGAGTGTGTCATTTCTGGGGCACCCTTCTTCAGTGTGCAGATCTGGGAGTGTCCCTGTTTCTTTCCCTCACCTATTTGTCCTGTCTTTTTTTTTATTTTGGTGTATATTGGTTTTGAGTTGAATTCTCATTGTATTTCTGGCAGTATTAGATTCAGGAGTCTCTGCCAGTAAGAAGTGATTGATGAAAAGGAAACTTTTTCCACAGATAGGCTTCTTGGGAAAGTGATAGTCTGATATCATGCTTTGGCGCTCTCAGAACCATTCTGGACAGATCTGATTTATTTTTTTCCTTAAAATACCATTACTATAAAAATAGCCAATAATTATTAACTTTTTGAAACAGACCTGTTACATACCTCAGGAAGAAGATTGGATTTTTGAGCCAAGTTTCATAGATTTCATACTTTTTCTTTACTGGCAGCACTCAGAATGAAGTCCCTGGTTGTTGGACAGCATTGACAGGGTAGTGTTTTTTATAGAAATAACCTATGTGTGTGATGTTGCAGGATTTATTGGTTATGCTCCATCCATAAATCGTATTGTGCAGCAATGGAACCTGCAGGATAATGATGATGACCAACTGTTTTACACCAAAATCTATGTTGACCCATTGGCAAGGGTAGGTAGTAACTCGCTTTCTCTTTTCTTTCTGCTTGAAATAACATGCAGCTCCTCATAAAACACCAAGAGATGAAAAGACAAGGAATGCTGTCTATACTGGAGTCCCATGTTGACAGTTGTTTGTTCTCCTGAGGTTCTTACTGCTGGAATGATGAACAGGTTCCCAAAGGGTCATGACTTGATATATTATTTCAGGCTGTCTTCAGCCCTAGGCAGGTTGTGCTTCATTGTTAAAATAACAGCTCTGAGGTGTATGATCAGACACATTTATCTCAATGAGGGTCCCATGTACTTGGCAGTTTGACGGCCAGAGAATGTGGCATTTTGCCAGGGTGTCACTGAACTACTTGCTGATCCAGTGTTTTATACTTTGGCTTGCTGCCATTTCAGATCCTGCCTTTCTGTGCAAATAAGTTCAATAAAGCTGCATTGTAAATTTGGGGTGAACGTTTTATACTTTGGCTTGCTGCCATTTCTGTGCAAATAAGTTCAATAAAGCTGCATTGTAAATTTGGGGTGAAGACCCCTCTGTGTCCTCACTTAACAAAGTTCTCTGCTGAATTGCAGCATTAAAGCATGAAAGGTGTTAGAGGTGTGTCCCTGCTGCTGGAAAAAGAGGGATAAGGGAAGCTGACAATATACTGATGCAAAAAGACTTTAGAAGCTGATACAGAAGAATTTTGAGAAGGATTTTGGTAATTTGGTATGCTTAAGACAGATGCAAAGTTTTTGAAATATATACATGTTGTTTCTGGCATAACTTAATGGAAAATCAGTTCTGTTTGGCTAGAGATTCAGAAATAGGATAGAACATGTCTGTTGGAAGGGACTTATAGTGATCATCTAGTCTGACTGTCTAACCAGTATGGGCCTGATCAAAAGCTGAAGTGTGTTACTAAGGTCATTGCCCAAATGCTTTTTAAGCACTTGACAGGCTGGAAGTTTGACAACCTCTGTAGGAACTGATCCAGGGTTTGACCACCCTGTTCATAAAGAAATGCTTCCTAATGTCCAGTCAGAACCTTCCCTGGTGCACCTTTTAACCATTCCCACAGCTCAGCTCCTCCCTCTCCCCCTCCCCTCCTCAGGAAGCTGTAGGAAGCACGGAGGGGCCCCTCAGCCTGCTCCTCTAAACTAGACAAACCTCAGCTGCTCCTCACGGGAAATTCCCTCCGGCCTTTAATGACTGAGTTGCTGATGTGCAAGTTCAGTCAGATGCCAGGTATGCAATTGAAGAGACAGGGTGTAGAGATATTAAAGCTGATTCTGCATCCAAGTCAGAAGTAACATAATTGGTTGTCTAAATGGATTGTCTTCTAGACCAAAATTGTGTATCTGTGCAGAGCACTGCTGCGCTGTGGTTCAAAACACTTCCATGGTGCTTACTGTACATTACCACTGATTCTCTGTGTAGTAATAATGTGCCCAATGCTGTAGAATGTGTAAGAAAATCTTGGAAGACCAAAACAAAGGACGTCATCTGTTTTTAAGGGTGTTTTGAATGTTACATACTTGGATCAGCATTTTAAAGATGGTAAAACATGGTATTTAAAATAAGCTAGGATTAGTAGTACAACATTAGGAACATGCTTTAAAACCACCAGTGTTTTCTATTCTGACATGATACTTAAATTTGACTTTTATATTTTTGTGACTCTGAAACACAGTATGTTTTGTTTCTTGGCAAAGACTTGTTAATTTTTTTTAAATACACAAATTTTCTTTGGCTTATACTGCTAAATTACAGTTCCTGTGGAGAGTTATGACCTTTATCCTTCAAGTTTAAAGTTTCTGCATATGCAAAACTGATTGCTGTAGAACTGCACAACTTGGGAATACAGACAAATATAGCAATTTGAAGAACACATTTTCCCTGATTCCTTGCTGCCACTGTGGTATAATTGCAGTGTTGCTGTAAAAACATTGGCTTTTAGAACGCCTCAACAGCTTTGGTTCTTTGATTTCAGGAGCGCATTAACATTACTTTGGACCACAAATGTACAATTTTCCAGACCCTAAATGGAGCTGTTGGTAAGTGTATGATTGGCACATTGTTTCATTAACTGTTATTAGCACTTCTTTTTTTGCTTAACCATGAGTGTAGTTCTTTAAACATGTGATTATTTTAAGGAAGTGATTGGATGGGTAAAACTGATCACCAGATTAGTTACTGGGCTTTTGGGTTGATTATTAGTTGAATTATCTCATTGTAAAATATTTAATTTAAAATGGAGAAAATAGTTCTAAATAAATGAAGTTGGCAGTAAATATAAAGTTAAGGTTAATTTTTCTATCTGCCTTTCTAAAACTTAATTACAGGAGTAAGATTAGTAATTAAAATTGCATTTTAGATGTTCTCAAGCAAACGACTATACATATGAAGTTGAATATCAAATAATGTAAAACTTTCTTTATTTAACTGTCATGAATTTAAATGGAAAAGTGCATCTGTGCAAACTTCCTTTCTTACATCTGACCTTTAATTTTAGAATAACTTTTTTCTAGTCAGATCATATCTGAAATAACTGATTTCTCTATAAATAGCAATACTGAAGCTGCTGATGAGAAACTATGAAGTTTGATGTTACCTTTTTTATCATAAGGAGCTTAGAATTCTAGATCTAATTAGAAAAAGTGAACAAAAGCTTCTAAATAAATAATACTGACAGTGACAGCAACAGCAAGGTGTTTTATATCATCAAGGACTTAAAAATCTGAAATTTTAGCTTTTTTATGAACTTACTCTACTGCTTTGTTGATTTGCAGATGAAGTCCTCTTGAAATTTGAAGAAGGAAAAGTAAGAGCAAGGAATTCAGTGTATGACACCCTACCAGTCACCATTCATGGAAATGGTCCAACTAAAGTGAGTGACAGTTTGGTTTTAATTTCATGTAAAACCAAGAGGAACCTTTTGCTATGCATCACTTTGTCAGTGTGGTTAAATTCTTCTGTTTTAAGTGCAGGATGGAATCAAAAGGATAATAATATATTAGGCAAAAAGTTTTCTCTAGTTTGTAAATAAACTAGCATTAAAAAATTCCCAGAATTCACTCCCAACTGTTTAAAGTATTTTATTCATGAGATACTTCTGCTTTGTACTTTGTACTAATCTGCAGATTAGTAAATTGCATTGGTTAGATACACCTCTCAAAATGTGTACCAAATAATTTTTACATTCCGATGTGTAATACTTTTATTTTTCACCTCAAATGCATGTCATTTTTATGAAATACTATTTTTGTAGACTTCATGGTACATATGTAATCTGTTTTGTCAGCAAAAAGAATAAGATCAAGTTTTTACCTGCTATTTTTTAATGTTTGTTTCCTGTCAGTTGCCTTTAGTTACAAGTGATTAAATGAGTTAACCTGGATTGTTTGAAAGGTATAGATTATCCTTGGCACTCATCTTTCATTAATTTAAATTGTTCATTTCTGTATCAGATCCACCTGAATTATTTGGGAAACTATATTCCCAATGCTTGGACACGGGAAACTGGCTGCAGTGTTTGTGATTTGGACTTACTAGACCTGTCAGCAGTAAAGGTAAGAATACTCTGCACTGGAACAAGGCCCTTTTGGGTGCAGCTGATGGGTGTTCAGTGATTCCTGAGGTCAAGTGGCTTCTTCCTGCAATATGTTTTACTACTTTCAGGAACATTTTTATGCATGTATTTTAATATAGCTTTGCACAGTGTTGCTGAAGATGATGCCAACCCCAAAAGCCCTCTAGATCTTCACCTCTGTTCACTGAGGGTGAATGAACAATTTCTGAATTGTGCAAGGTTCTAGAGAGTAATTAGAATTTTGGAAGAGGTAGAAAAATTCTAGATATTTCAGATTTTTTGACGTACAAAACAGTCAATATGGATCATTTGAACAACTTCCGTTGCAAATGGAGTTTAATAGCTAACTAGCATGGTTACAATTACTGTTTTCTGAGATGAAATAGTGCAAAACTGCTTTGCCTTGTTGAGGGCAATACAAATATTTGTATGATGTAAGCAAATGTGTTTCTGTAGAAGATGATTGGATTTCAGTACAGTTTTCAGCATTCTTGTAGGACACATACACATGGCACGTGTGTATATCCAGTACTTGGCAGCTTTGGCTCTTCCACTCCAAGCATGATGTCTTTCATGTCTCTGTAAATATTTCAGCTTGTAGACAGTAAATTTGAGGCAGAGTAAATACTGACCTCTACCATGTGGAATTGTAAGACTTGGACGAAAAAGTAAATTCTGATTATGTCTAACAGGATCTTTCCAGCAGATGTTTCATTTCTGTTCTGTATTGAAGATTTGAATGAGAACAGGTCTTTGGAAGGAGAGCATGAAAGAAATAGTGGCTTGTTATCTTTGCAATGAAAGGAAAAAGTGAAAACATTTCTGGGCAATAAATAGCTAATGAACTGGAATATAAACTAAAAAAGTTGTTGTTGGAATTTTAATAACTTTCATATTCTTTTTCTGTTTTTAAATTTTATTTTCTCTTTTAAGATAAACAGTTGAATGGTGTTATAATTAGATAGTGTTTGCACTCCCATCATAAAGTTTACCTGAGGAAAAGATGTTGTCAAAGATTTTTTTCCAATGGTGTTGGTAATCAAGATGTGGTTTTGGAGCAGTTAAATCTGAAAGCCAGTAAGGGGGACGCAATGATTTACTGGATAGCTTCCTATAGTTTATGTACATCTACTTGGAATGTGTCTTTACTGTAGTGCATTCTTTGGACTTCATGCCTCAGTCACACTGCCAGAAGAAATAACAAGGCTTTTCCTTGGCCTCGGTGGAAGTGTTTACTTCAGGCATTTCTAAGTACATCAGGATTTAGTTTTCTGAACGTGCTCTCTGTTCAGGCCAGTCTGGTTGCTACTTAACAAGAAATCTTCAGTGAAAAGAGCAGTTCCTTTTCTGTGCCTCTAATAATTTTCTCCATATTGTTTTATTTAACTGCCTGCATTTATACATTCATATCTTCTGAGGATTTTGCTTGCTTGTTGGGATGGCCTACAAAGGAGCTCAGAAGTACACATGGTCTTTTGTTCAGTCTTTGTCCTTTTGACAGAAACAGCATCTTCTGCAATCATGGCTGAGGTGTGGGAAACTGCTCTGTTCTGGTAATGTCAGCAGCCTGTGCCAGCCCCAAATTAACCATCTGTTCAGATAGAAGCAGCATAATGGAAAATAAGTTGAAGAGGGCACCTGGACTCAATAAGTGCAAATTGTTGCTACTTTCTTAAGGTTTTGTTTTTTTTTCCCTGAAACCTAAATTAAGTTTGTTGCCCAACTTAGCCTCCCTAGAAATGCTTTTAAATTCTAAAGCTTCTTACTGGTGTGGAGACTTTCCAATGTGGCTGAAAAGGATGATCTCACTCTTCTCATTTCACTGGCAAGTCTTGTGGCAAGAGATCCTGGACTTTGCTCTGTGCAATTGTACTGAGACATTGTCCTGTGTTTCTTCCAAAAATTGTCTTATACTCAACTACTGTTTATTAAAAAGTAAACTTTAAAAGTCAAATACATGACCTCACTGAAAATGAGAAAATCTATCAGAGAAAATGCAGCATCTGGGTGCAGACTGGGTATTCCCAAAGAGGTTTTGCTGAGAGGCAACTTCTGATTTCACATGCTCAAAATGCTCATTGTGACCTAGATTCAGATTAGGCAGTGACAACTCTTTGTGGTAAACCAAGGTCTGAATTGATGAACTCTGTGCTTTGAGGAGATGAAGTTTACAGGAATTTTTCCCCCTAATTTTTTTAAACACCATTATGCTTTGGTTACACTGAGATTTCAGCGTGGAGCCAAGCAGTTCACATTTCAGTGTAATGAAGCAGTGTCAGTAATTCCTCATTGTCCCCATAGCCTTTGCACATCCAGCCAGAACCTCTTTCTCTTTCCCCTGGAGAACAAGGGGGGAATGACTCTGAGTTAGAAAAATGTGCAAAGTACAGTGGCTGCAGCAGCTGTAGCACTGCTAGCTCAGTGTGCCCAGCTCAGCCTGGGCACCTCTCCTTGTCCCTGGCCATCAGTGCACTGCTGATTGTTCTGGAGTTACTGGGGTGTCTGTGAGGCTGTGCTTTCCCAGCAGCCCTTACGAGGTTTGCAGATGCAGCTGTGAGCAGGAGGGGTCAGGGTAAACACTGGGTGTTTCTGGGCTCCCAGAAACACTGTCGTGTAGACAGTGACACTGTGAAACCTCAGCATGTGTTGATGCTTTATCCAGACACTTCTCAAGTGGGTGTTGGCCTGCTTAAAGAGCTCGCTGGCAGCCTTTTATGCTCATATAAGGTTTCTCTCTGAGCCTTGTAATGGATTCGATTTTTATAGTAATTGTCTGGTTTAGAGATGGAAATAATTTGTAGTCAGTATTTCTTTGTGTAGGAGTTGAGGCCTTTGAAGGTTAACTTTTTTGTCTTGCACACTGCAGTAATACACTTCAGGACTAGAAAATAAGTGCTGTCTGCGTTTCTTTTAGTGGTCATGATCTCATGATCTCTGTCAAGCGTATTCAAAGCAGCCAAATACCATCAAAAGATGTGAATTCACTTTAACATAAGGTCCATGAAAGTTCAGTATTCTTGGATGTAAGGACAGCAGCTCCATTAGTTTATTGAAGATCTTTCTAAAATCAGTGAGTAGGGAAGGAATGCAGAGCTCAGTTCAAATGAATGGGGAGAAATAGTGCATATACATTTATAGAAGGGTATTGTAGTCTTTGGCTTAAAGTACAGCTGAGTAAAATATTTAGTGGTATTTATTCTTTAACTATTTTTAAAAAACTGCTCTCCTCTATATTTTCTTGTAAATGTAGTCTGCATTTGTACCTTGTTAAAAAAAAAGAATTTTACATTCTTTTCTAGGTATATTTCCTTAAATGATTCTTTTGCTGTTTTAGTGGGTTTTTTAAAGTAAGAATTTTAAAACCATATTGCATTATTTTCTGCTTCCACTGTGTGTTTCATACCAATATTAAATCCGTTATCTTTGCTTATTTTTTTAAGCCAGTGAAAATAAACTTCTGAGCACACTGGTTTTGATTGTTTGAAAGCTGTGTGGACTGTTTACTATATGACATTAGTTGCCCTTTATTATAATTAATCTTAGAAAAGAGGCAAGTCTTATTGGTTGTATCAACATATCATTTTTTTTAGGAATATCCAAGAGTAAAAATTGGTGTTTTCATTGAACAACCCACTCCTTTCCTAACTAAATTTTTAGACAGACTGTTGACTCTGGACTACCCACGGGAGGCACTCAGTATCTTCATTCATAATAATGTAAGTATGACTTTATCATTGTACAAAGCTTCAATTTTGGAAATTGTGCGATGAATCAGAGCGTGGAGTATATGGATTTGGTATAAGAACACAGTTAAAATGCATAGGAAGAGATAATCCTTCAGAGTTCAGTATGCAAAGCTGGAGAAATTAAATGAAATTGTCTCAGGACTTACTGAAGTGTATTTAAAGAAACTGCTTAGATTATTTTACTAATGAAAAAAAATGTATTTTGAAGTGTGTGCTTCTGGAGGAAGTACTGACAGCCCTAAACAATAGAGTAAAATGACAGAACAGTTCCAGCTGGAAGGGCCTGCAATGACCATCTGGGCCAGCTGCTGACCACCTCAGGACTGAGCAGCAGTGACACCAAATTATGAACAGCTGTCACCTGACAGTGGACATGGGACCCTTCTTCATCTTGCTGATATCCCAGTTTGTTTCTGTTGGCACTCCTGCTGGGTCCTGTGGTAAGACTGGTGTGTTCAGATGTATTTTGGCTGGCACTGCAGATTAGTTGCTTTTGAATACTCCCTGCTCATTACCTAATGATCTGGCATTGCTGGTACTTCCCCAGTGACTTCAGCCAGTATTGCTGTTTTGGGCAGCCTGGTCCAATGGAAGCTGTCCCTGCCCAAGGCAGGGGGTTGGAAGGAGATGATATTTAAAGTCCCTTTCAACCCAAATAATTCTGTGATTCTGTGATTTTAATCAGTGAGGTGTCAAATGTGTGCAATTTTTTTGGAAAAAAAAATGAGGCTGGAAGAGAAATGGGAGTAAAATGTAGTTGTACCACTTTTCAGTGTGCATGCATTGCTATTGATATGAAAGCAACAGCAAAAGGGGATCAGTAATAGAAGTAGAGTTTATCTCTAAAGTGTTCATAGTGGTTTTGTAAAGGGATTTTGGGGGTATAAATGTGATTGGCACATGGGAATTGTAGGCTGTGTAGGTTTTGTAGCTTCAACCAAAAGTTTTATGGTGTTTGAAATGGAATATAAGGTCTGAAGAGCTTTTTATTTTAGAGGGGGGAAACCCCTACCCTATGTCAATTATTCTAATGTCAGCCACAATAGGCAAAAGCTACAGTGAGGGCACTGGTTTGGAAGTATTGCATGCAGCTGAGAGCTCTTAAATATAAATAAATAGAGAGGTAAGGAGGAGGGTAAATAGAAATTAAAAGAACAATCAGTGGGACTGCCTTTTAAAGAAAAAATTGTTGTGCCTGTACAGGTACAGCTCCCTCTCTAAAGTGATTCTGGAGAGGCATAAAAAACTCCTGCATGCCACTGAGGTTGTAGGAGGAGGTTTTAAAGACTGTAACATAAATATCCTGAGAAATACTGTGAATTAGTTTGTGAATCTTGCATTATTGTGCAGCTTTGAGTAATATTGATGACATGTTGGATTATTTTTCTAAATTTTTGGACAGAGGAGGTTCATTTTAATGACAGAGATACTGGAATATCTTCAAACACTGTTTGGCATCTGTTTCTTTAGGACAGAATACAGTGTGTTCTTGGACACTGTGTTTATGATTCATACTTATTGATGCCTTACATTTGCAATAAAAAATGTTTACATGATTACAGGAGGTTTACCATGAAAAGCACATCAAGAAATTCTGGGAAAAAGCCAAGAATATTATCAGAAATATTAAAATTGTTGGACCTGAAGAAAACTTGAGTCAAGCAGAAGCCCGGAACATGGGAATGTAGGTTCTAATTTATAAATCTCTTACATTGATGCAAACACTCACATTGTTTCATCTTGTACAGGTATTATTTTGTGCCTTTAATGTTTACATCTTCACCTGTGAAAATGGGAGCTTTTGTGGTAGAAAAGATGTAGATATAAGACATGAATTGTCAAGTGTTTTATGGTTTCTGTGTAATATAAAAAGCTGTTGATCATTGTGAAAAAATCTCTCTGGTTTGGGCTACTTCAATAGTTGGTCATCTTGTCTTGTGATGATGGCCTAGACAATGCATAGTAATTTTGTTTTCCAGCTACCTTACTGCAGAATTTTTTTAATTTTTGCATTGGATATGCTTTTAACAATTGCTCTTTTGTTGTCCTAGTGCTTACTCTTTTTTCTTTTTTCTAAAGTGACATTATATTAAAGTAATCATATGGGTAAAGCCATATGGTTAAACGTATGGTTGACCGGGATGTGCAGGTGACTGAATTCTCTTTCCTCCTGGGGTTCAAAGAGACAGGAATATCCTTCAGAAGTGCTCAAGCAGAAATTTCTCACAAAGACAACTGACTTTATATTATGTTTGGTCTTGCTTTTTTCTTTTGTTCTTACTAGCACATCCAAAACTTTAGCTTTTAAACCTGGCATTTTCTGTGTCCAAAGTTGAACCTTGGAATTTGTATGTCCTATTTCAGCCCTGCCTGTCACAGGGTCTCTTCAGTGCTGCAGGATCCCACCAGGATCAGGACCACCTTGCTGTGGCCCTGCAGCAGGATTCATTCAGTGATGATACTTTCACTCACTCTTCTGACAGATCTTCCCTGAGTGTCAGAGCACAGAAGTCAATTTCAAAAGGCCATTTCTGTTCAGAGGTTGAGCATAGGCTGTTCATAGCCTCAGCTGAAAGAATGAGGGTCTTGAGTCCCTGTGGTGTTGTTGGAAATTTATTTGAATGGGGCTTTGTTGTGCTGAAGCCACTGGAAGACTGATCTCTGGCTGAGGTCCACACCTCTCCCCTTGCCTTTCTAGGAAATGCTGCAGATGTCCAGTGGTAGTCTAAGCACCCACTCACATGTTTATAAATCATGCTTTCTCTGTTTCTAACACTCTCTAAAGCAGATGTACACTGATGACAAACTTTTTTTGGTGTATGTTATGTGTAACTGAGGTGGAGTTTTTGGAATTGCCTTTTCCTTTTTGTTGTTATTGACAACGTAAGGCAGAATCTTCAGTGTCATCAATATCTATAGTAATACTAAATCTCAGCCAAAGACCTGGAAACCTGTCATCTTTTGGAAGAACCTACTGACTTATAATGACACTTGAAACACTCGAGTGGCATTTCCATGTCTTTCTCTTTTTTAGCCTTTGTCTCTAAGGTATGAGTTCTTACAGTTAGTTCTTTATTTCTTTAAGGAAAAATCATCTTTGTTTTTGTCTTGGTTGCAGATGAGATTTCAGCCAGCTGTTACAGAATTTGTTATGACAGAAAACATGAAAAGCAATTAAATATGTTCAAGTAATAACGGAAAGTTGGGAAATATTCACTTCTGAGGTTTTATTTATAAAAAGTATGTTTTCCATAATATTTTTTCTCCTGGTACTTACAGCCTTCAGGATTTCTCTTTCAGGGTAGTTGGTTCTTTTTTGTTCCTCCCTCAAAAATATTAGTAACAGGACAGGGTAGGAATTTTCCAAAACTTTTTATACAAAAATGTCATTTATCTCAGCTGTTAAGTGGGAATGTGCACATCGTGGCTGTCTGGAAAGATGCAAAATGTAACCCTAAATGGAGGCAGGAGATATCACTCAGGCTATTGCTTGCAGACTTGTATCTGGAACACCTTTTCTTTCAGAGGTCTGTCAAATGATTTAAGTGTTCTCCCTCTGTGCTTGCAGTCCATATTTGGAATTGTCTTTCCAAACTGAAAGGTCTGAAAATGATAACTTGATTAATTGCAAGTTCAAACTATGTCTAAAAAAAAGAGAGATGGCTCAATGGCCGAGAAGTTGGGTAGACAATATGTCTCTGTCACAACCAATAGACCCTTGGACTGTCTCAGTGGAAAGTGTGATGAAGGGAAGAGCTGTGACATTCTCCCATTTTCAGATGAGGTCACTGTTCCAGATGGACTTGTGGTTTGTAAACTCAGTCAGACATCACTCTGATTGCAAAATACTTTAAACTGATCTGCTGAGCTTCACACTGCCAACCGAAAATCTTGGCTTTCTTCTGAATTGTTGTTAATTGCTGCACTGAAATTGCTCTAAGTGATGTACAAGGACGCAGCTTTCTTTTCAACATTTGGTCTTACTTCAGGTCAGGTGGAGTGGAAGGAAAGTAGATTGAAGGGTTTAGCCTTTGAATGTAGATAAGGAAACATTTTACACATGAGCTTTGCCAGAAAGCACTTTCCACGTATTCCTTGGAGTGACCTGGATATGCATACAAATAGTTTCACATATAAGATGCATTAATTTCTAGAGAGCATGCTTGCTTTATTAATTTTGACTGAACCTTTTATCACTTTCTCTCCATCTGAAACCTGTAGTGTTTTAAGGAGATTTTTTTTTAGTGACCTTAAAGTGCAAAGGATCACCAAATGCCAAAACTTCATGCTTGCAGCGTAATTCTTCCAGCTTTTTCAGAGGCAAGCCATCATGTCAAATGTGAAGGATAAGTTCTGCCATGTGGTGATCCAGTCTTCAATACTGTAGAGAAAGAAATAAGGAGGAAAAAATAAGTCAGAATAGTAACCTTGAAGTTTCCTGACTGTTTAGGACAGGAATGCTCTTAGAGAGTTCTCAACAGAGTACTGAATGACTGAGAGTGACTTAGACCAAAACTTCTAATTTAGTATTTGTGGTTTGGATTATTAGGTGACTGAGGCACAGGAGGGTTTCTAACACTAAGCACATGGGACTAGTTAGAATAGAATTTTCTGGGTCTGGATTTAAAAGGGATGGGGGCAGAAAAAAAGGCAAAAGTTAAAGGACGATGCATTTTGCTATTATGTAATTAATTTTCAAGGTATATTTGCCTATAACTAAATATAAATTTGTTCCACTTCATCACGTTTTTATAATTAAAAACATTTATTCTCTTCATGTTTTTGTTAGCAGCAGAGGGTTTACCTGCTTTTGGAGTAGTGCTGGCAAGTGTTGTGGCTGGAACCCTGGACTGAAATCAAGTCTGGTCTCAGGTCTATTTTCCTCACTAGAATAAAGGAGCTGAATGTTTTTGGAAGAAATTTTACATCTAATGCCAAGTGCAGTATAAAAGTCAGGTTGCCATTAATAATTGTAATTAAGCCAATGATAAGTCTGTATGTGACTCGTGTTCAGTGGTTGTAAAGCTTTGAACAGAACGGATTAGTAAAGGAAAATACCATAAAGACTGAATAGCAGGGCCGTGTTATGGCCAAAATAAAACCTGCTGGTTTCAGCTGGGGCAATGTGAAAGTGCTGATTAAGGAATTTCTGTCACAAAAATGTCTGTATAAGATGTCAGGTGAGGCACGCCCAGAGACTGGCCAGAGATGTAGACTGGCTGTGTGTTCAAACACAGTGATTTTAGCAGCAGTGGGAAGATCATCTCTGACATATGGGTATTTAAAAACATTTTTCTGAAATTATTGCTAGATCTTTAGTGATCAAGCTTGAAAAGGAAGGAGTGCTTAAAGTTATGGAATAAAAAACTCTGCCTTCTACTGTGATGCCAACAAAGTCATACCTCTTGAGTCCTTTGAGAAGAAGAAAGTTTGAACAGAAAGACCCAAAAGGTGTTGATAAGTAGTAATTCTGATGTAAGATTTAGTCCTAGAGTTGGAAGGGGTTGGAAGAAGAGCAGGCAGGAAGCCATGGCAGCCCTTACCTTCACTTGTATGTAACCTGTCACATCCACACTTTGTCAGATCTTTTGAAGAGACAGAGATCTTTGCCTTTGCAGAAAGCAGTCACAATCAATCAAATCAAGTGGAACTTGAACTAAAGCACTGATTATAGATATTTTTAAACAAGAAAGTAAGATAATGTTTCAAGCTATTATGGTGGAATTAAAATAGAGAAAATAAACATTCAGTAATGCCACCTGCATGATAGGAAGCTATTGCTGTATTATTGACTTGAGGAAATTGTTCCACCTTCTCTAAAAGTATATTTGATTTCTTATAATGTCCTATTATTCTGAGGGCACAGGAAGGCTGAATCCACTATACCAAGTTTTCAGAAGAAAGTTTGAACAGAAAGACCCAGAAGGTGTTGATAAGTAGTAATTCTGATGGAAGATTTAGTGCTAGAGTTGGAGGGGGATGGAAGCAGAGCAGGCAGGAAGCCATGGCAGCCCTTACCTTCACTTGTATGTAACCTGTCACATCCACACTTTGTCAGATCTTCTGAAGAGACAGAGATCTTTGCCTTTGCAGAAAGCAGCCAGTCACAATCAAATCAAGTGGAACTTGAACTAAAGCACTGATTATAGATATTTTTAAACAAGAAAGTAAGATAATGTTTCAAGCTATTATGGTGGAATTAAAATAGAGAAAATAAACATTCAGTAATGCAAACTGCATGATAGGAAGCTATTGCTGTATTATTGACTTGAGGAAATTGTTCCACCTTCTCTAAAAGTATATTTGATTTCTTATAATGTCCTATTATTCTGAGGGCACAGGAAGGCTGAATCCACTATACCAAGTTTTGGCCTAGCAAGTCCACCCTACCAGAAGTATGCAAACATAGTCTGTGTATCTTTCATATTTACAGTAGAATGTGTTTTCTTTGTCTTTCTCTTGGAGGCATGGGAGTTTGTGCAGTTTGTTCTTCTGAGATCAAAATCACAACTGATAGAAATAGTGTGTGGATGCATTCAGTTATTTTACCCAGTATAAATTCACTGCCTTTGCAATTGGTTTATATTTCTCTTTACCAACTTTGTTGTTCTTGTAGATCAAAAAGACAAAGAAAAAGTCTTTAAATATGTTTCTTTATATAAGTTTATAAGTTTGTCCTACACCCTCCATAAGGTTTCAATTACTATTCAGATTGCATCTCTGGACTCTTTTTCCAAAGACAGCATTACAGCCACTTGCTAGAGGAGCTTACTAAATAAGGTCACACTTCACTGTTAAGTGATTGTACTGATACCCAGCTATATAAATTAATGGCTTGCTCCCCCTATCCCATTTTCTATTAGGACACTCTGTAGAAGGTATTACTGAACTTGGTAAAGGCTAGAGGCCAAAGAAAAATATAAGGCATCTAATCCATATATTTTAAACTTCTAGTTAATGAAACTAACGTAGTCTAAAGACACCTTTCTCTACAATACTGTGCTGCAGAGGACTCTTAATGCAATGAATCAGTTCAGTACTTAATTGTAGTTTGGGGTTTTTAAAAATCTTTGTGTTTGTTTTGTTTGTGATATTTTTTTCTGGACATATGTCCATGTAGACACTATTATTAACATGAGTTAATAATTCTTTTTTGTATTTTTAGGGACCTTTGTCGCCAGGATAAAACATGTGAATATTACTTAAGCATAGATGCAGATGTCGTGCTGACAAACCCCAAAACTTTAAGAATACTGATAGAACAGAACAGGTATAGTAAATCTCTTATTTTGTAGAATTTCCTCTAAATTGAAAGCATTCTCTGGGGTCTGTCCAGGGAAAATAAGATCCCATTTGTTTTTGCAGAGTTAAATCCTCTTTGTTTACTTGTGGTATTTCATTGCCATAGTTCATAACAGGCTTGGGGGCCAGCAATTCACAAAGCATTTTGTTCCTGTCAAACAGCAATTCCTGATGTGAATTTCAATTTCAGATTTTCATATTTTCTTATTCATTATGTCACTTCACAGGAAGATAATTGCTCCGCTCGTAACCCGCCATGGGAAGCTTTGGTCCAATTTCTGGGGTGCTTTGAGCCCAGATGGTTATTATGCTCGATCAGAAGATTATGTGGACATTGTCCAAGGGAACAGAGTGTAAGTCACTGTAAACTAATTCCTAGAGTAAGGGCACCCAGTATGGTTATTAGCAACATATTGCATGAAGCTATATGAATATGGTATTACTCCTGGAGAGATGAGGTTTGGTATATTGTTTTGTGTTGTCTATTTCATAGAAATATACTTGTTTATTCCCACTCACAGCTTGGGAAAAAACCAAGTGTTTAACCTGATGAGTTGGTGTTAGGACTGGACACATCTATTACTGGTACCTGTCTGATGGTGTCTGGTTGCTCTACCAGTGTACAATACAGAAAAAGGCAAGATAAATAGCAAACCCAAAACTCTACATCCCTGGCATCTCAAGCACAAGGAATGGTTGTTATATTCATTAAATGACTTTGTAATCTCCTTGGGGTAAATGCTTAATCAATGGAACAGCTATAACTTCTTTGTGTGTTTCCTACTGTATATGATGTCACATATCTCTTAAGGGGCTCTTCAGCAATACTTTTGTCAAGGATAAACTTTTGGGTTTATCCCTCCTCTAAATTAATGTGATGTAAGTTGTTCTAAGCTTGACTGTTCCATATGGTGATGCCTTTTCTACGCCCTGGAAGAACAAAAGGAACTGAAATAGACTGCTTGAATAGGACTGGCTTGTTTTCAGTCCTACTGTACTAAAAGAGTGCTTGTGGCACTGGGAGGGGGGAAATCTGCAGAGGGAGCATTTTGAAAGCAGTGCTTTTCTGTTGATATTGGCCCAACTCACATAAATACATGGCCTGCTGTGGTCTGTGGGTATTTGTGTGAGGAGGTCAGACCAGCTGTGTGAAGTCTCAGTGAAGTCTTTAAACTCATTTAAAAATCTGTTTTGGAGTTACTTTCTCCATCTGGTATTGTAAAATAATATTAAAAGAGTTTGACTGATTGTCTTAACTATGGAAACATGAAGTACATGTGTAGTTAAAATTCCATAGAGAATTTGACCTTGCTATATTTTTATAACAGTATTTCATAAAAATTGAATTACTGCCTACGCCTACTTTTGAGATGTCCAGATGCAGTTTTCCAAGTGTCTTGGGAACCTTTCAGCTTCTTTTTCTTGCAGCTTGCTTAGCCTTGTCAGCAAATTCAAAGATGCTGATTTAATAGAATAGGCAACAAATTAGTTTTCATAGCTTTAAACTATTTTTGTGTTGGTTTTTCTTTTTCTTATTTTCAACAGAGGAGTATGGAATATCCCTTATATGGCTAATATATATTTAATTAAGGGACAGACTCTCAGATCTGAGATGAAAGAAAAGAACTACTTCATGCGTGATAAGTTGGATCCTGATATGGCACTCTGCAGGAATGCCAGGGAGATGGTAAGGTGTATCTGTAACAGCTTGCTTTCAAATACACACATTCCTTTGTGTCCTGCTGTACTCATAGACTGCTTCACTTGATTGATCTTGGATATTATATTTTACTTCTAATTCAAAGTACTAGCCAATTTTTGTGTGATAAAACCCTTCAGGTGTATTTTTTTAAATTGTTGAGAACAGATGTTTTTTTCAAGGCCAATGCACTGATGCAATGACTGCATGGTATTTTCTGGTTAAATTCCTTGAAAATTTCTGTTGAGGTTAAAATACCTTTCTCCTTGGCACAACCTCAGTAGATGAAAGAGGGCTCAACTGCTCTGCTGTGTATGACTTAAAATTTACCAACTCATTTGGATTATCTCTATTGTGCACATTTTTATACAGTATGAAACTTCTGGCAGACTAAGTTGGAATATTTTACCATTTTTTATTAAGTAGATATATATTGAAACTAACAATGGGCAGTGTCAAATAAAAAGCCTAGATTATGTAAGAAATGTTAGGAATCTTCTTAGGGAGCATGAATTACTCATTAATTTTTCTAGACAGATTAAAACTGTATCTGATAAATGTTACTTGTGTTCATCTGGAAGTAATGAGAGAACTTATTTGTACTGTAAAGTTATGAACCTGTAAATCCATATTTCTACTGATATTTACACTAGTTTCAGCACAGAGACAAATAAGACCTAAACCAGGCCTATTTCCAGACACTATAGCATTGAAAAATATTTTTGCTGAATTGAACAAGAAAAGTTGGCAAGTATTAATTTTTTTATTCCCTCATAACAAGGCATGATCTCCTGTGTTTGTACTGATTCTTCAGAACAACCCCGTCTAGTCCTGTTGTATTCAAACCTCCTCAGCATCAGTTCCTGCAAAACCTGTGCTTTCCATGTGCTCATTAAACTAATCTGACTGGCTCATGAAAAAAATTGCTTCCTCTTTTCCTCTTTGTCAGTCTGGGCTGTAGGAGGGTTTGGTACGTGCTTGTTTTTGTACTGCAGCAGATAAGAAGGGGCTGGTGGAAACAGCTTTGACATGTGTATGAAGAGCTTTGCTTGGAGATGCATGTTGTCTGTAAAGGCATATCAGCTTTTGGTCAAAGGCTGCTATTTCCCTGATGTACCCGTGGAAACCTAAAAGTAGCTGGCAAATTAGAAAGAGATTGTGTCAGAAAACTGATGTGATGATTCTCCTTCATTTTAGACTTTACAAAGGGAAAAAGACTCCCCTTCTTCGGAAACATTCCATATGCTCAGAGCCCCAAAGGTGTTGCTTTATTTGTTTTTTATTGATTAGTTATTATTACATGCAGTATCATTCTACCACAGAAAGATACTTCTCCTCTGTCGACTTCCTCTGATGAAATACTGCTCTGGCTTTCTCTTCAGTCTTCTAGGGTTCAGGTTTTTGCCAGGGACAGGTTTTTCATGCCCAGCTGAAAGCATCTCATAGAGGCTCTTTGTTTCCTCAGGGGGGGTTTTCAGTGCTTCTGAGGTCAAGGTGTGCTGACACTGCTTCTGTAGCTAAAATGGATAGAGCAGTCCTAGGAAGGAGTAAAGCTCAGATCACTTGTAGGTCTGCCAGGCCCCCTCAGTGACCACATTGTCACTTGAAGCTGTTTTTCTTGACCCAGGCCCTCCTTATTCTCCCTGCTGCAGCTATTTGATGATTTGGTAAGTGCCCAGAACTGGGCATGTTTAACATAATCATTACTTTCCTAACAGTTTAACTCTTTTTCAGACAAAAACATAGACAGAAGTACCAAAGTACCCAAATGGTAATGTCTTCATCTGCTGTAAATCCAAAAGTCACAAATATTTCTGAAAAGAAGTTTTAGTCTGAAAAACCTTAAACTAAAAAGTATCCCATAGAACATAGATTTCTTTTTAAAAATACTATTTTCTGCTACTACTTCTAATCAAGAGACTTCTGTTAATACCTTCGCTTGATAATGAAGCTGTATCTTACCACACTTGATATTTTGCATATAATTACATGCACAGACTTCAGAGTGCTCAGCTGTTTTGGAAGCTGATCTGAATCTTCTTGTGTGCTGTATTTGCCAATATCTTTTTATTTCAGGCCAATTCACCAGATGGATCATGTTGTGAATACTCTGAAATAAGTTTCTTGTTCTGACTTTCATGAACACTTTGATTGTTAGCTTATTCTTTCAGATTTTAATTTGAAACTAAACCCTAGATGTTGGTTTTCTTGTGTTGTGAGTGTTTTCAGTTTGAGATCAGATTCTTTCAGTGTGTCTTAAGTTTTCTGGAAAGCAAATTGACCAATCACTCCTCTGCTTTTTCCTTTCTATAACTCTACATATGTTCCCAACAATATATGTTTTATGTTTTGGTTTAATGTATTTAGAAAATAAATGCAAGTAAATGCTTGTAAACAAGGAGTTATGAAGAGTACTTGGTGATTAGAGTCAACCATTTGAAAATTAGGATGCTAAGTTAACAGCACCTTTACAATTAATGGGTACAAATGTGATTATATTTTATGAAAGCACAATCATGAAAACCTTTTTAAGCATTGCTAAGATGGACAGTTTTGCTAATGATGCTTTCTCTAATTGGTATAGGGTGTTTTCATGTACATTACCAACAGACATGAATTTGGAAGACTTCTTTCTACAGCCAATTACAATACTTCCCACTACAACAATGACCTCTGGCAGATATTTGAGAATCCTGTGGTATGCATCTAATTATTTTAAAAATTTAATTTTATTTCATTTTAAAAAAGTATAAACTTATACATTGTAAAGGATTTGAAATTTGAAGGCTTTATGTGGAAAACCTTTGTTTACTGTGTGCTAAATATTGATTATGTACTAAAAGGTGTTTTTACCCATCCAAGCAAATGACAGTGTGTCATATCAGTAAGCCAGGTGGTGACCAGAGCATGAAATTGGAGATATGGCCCTGAGGTAACAGGTTTCATGATTTTTGACCTGATGGGAACAAGTTTGTTTATGAGAATAAGAAAATTTTGAATTGTTTCCAGTGCTTTCATTAGAACAAATGAATAGAATATAAATTATTTTTTTATCACTTACAAGTATCGTTGTTCTGTTGTAATGTTTTTAAATCATATTTTTTTTTTAGGATTGGAAGGAAACTTACATAAATCCAAACTATTCAAAGATCTTCACTGATAACATAGTAGAACAGGTGAGTATAAGTAGTTTTTTGAAAATTTGTGTGACTCGTAATAAATTGGCATGCAGTAAATATTTCCATGCAAATGCTGTTTTGGTCTGTGACTAAACAGTTTTTTGATGTTTTGGATCAGAACTGAATTTTTGCCATTTGATATAGGCTGCTTGCTTTTATGCAACTAATCTGAACAGAGCACTTGTGTTGGATGGTCAGTTGTGACAATTAGGGACAGTGATTTAATGAACTTTGCCTCTCTAAAAAGCTGGGATGAGTTTTTTCTGTGTAAAGCAATGTTAATTTTTTAGCTGTTTTCCCATATTAACCTGTAATGTGGAAGACTGGGGTTGTCACTTAGAACCATAAGGCACAGAAGATGTGGGTGCACTGACACATTCTTAGTGCTGGGTCAGGCCTTAGAATGCAGCTCATAGTTTTTGCTTTTGTGAGAATGTGCTTGAGAATCAAGTTTTTAATTGTTTGGGGTTTTCTTGTAGCCATGTCCAGATGTGTTTTGGTTTCCCATATTTTCTGACACTGCCTGTGATGAATTGGTAGAAGAAATGGAACATTTTGGGCAATGGTCTGGTGGAAAACACCAAGTAAGTGTCAGCCTATATAAACATAATCTTAATGAGTGATCTTAACTACTTTTACAACTCACAGTAACTCACGGTGTACTGCAACAAACAAACATCCCAGCAATTGCCAATGATCTGAAACATCTGCTTTGTGGTATGAAGTGCTTACTTTAGTCTATCACATAGCTGTTTTTCAGTAGATTTAGAGGCATTCTTCAATTAATATTGTGGTGTGGCACCCACCAAAGTCACTCTGTCACTGTCCTCAACTGGACAGGAGAGAAAACGTAAAAAAAAAAAAAAAGAGTTTGACTTGAGATATAAGGACAGGGAGAGATATTCAATAGCCAACACAGGGCAAAACAGACTCAGTTTGAGGAAATGAGTTTACTTTCTGATCTGGTTCAGTTGGTAATATAATGATCAATGAAACGACATTTTAAAAACACCTTCCTGCCATTTATCCCCTTTCTTAAAGGCACTGCCACCCCAGAGGTGCTGTCTCTGTCACTGCTGTGCTCAGCCTTGGCAGTGGCAGTTGTTTTGCAGTAGGGCATTGGCTCCACAGGGGAAATTTCCAGCAGCTTCTCACAAAGGCCACCCCTGCAGCCCAGGCTGTGCCACATAAACCCAGTGCACACTTTGAATCAGCAAATTAGATACTAAGAGTGGTGGAGCTCTGTGGCAGGTACCTACAGTGACCCAAGGCTGATTTTGGGTAGCTGTTGATAACTGTTCAGACAAGTTTTACCCATTTTTCTCTTAAGTACTAATTTGTCAGACTTGTCCCCCTAAGGAGTTACCTGAAAATGTTATGAGGTGTTGTGTCAACATTCTCAGAGAATTCAAGATATTTATTAACTACCACTAAAATAGAGAAATGTTTATCTTATTCACAAATGTGGTACCATGAGAAACTATAGTCACAATTGTACTGTAAGTAGGAGCCTCTAGAAAGAATTTTAACATACTTTTGTCTTCAAAATATTTCAACATTTATTACCCTGTCAAGTTGAGGCCTGTCATCTCTTATCTGATAGAATTTCAATTGCATCTGCAGCTCAGTAAATAAAACTTATTATCCCTAGAAGCTCTTTTATTTACAGGTGACACATCCAAATATTGACTCATCCTATTTTTGACTCTTCCAGTTTTTGCTCATTGGTATCTCAACACACTTTTTTCCTTGGCAGTTAGCTGTGGGATTGCTGTACAGACAGCCACTGAAACATTGCTTTGTTGCTGTTCTGTGATTCTGCAGATTTCAAATAAATATTTGTTGAAATGTCAGAAACATCCCATGTTCCTGTTTCCAAGCTATTTGTGGTGTTTTCATTAGGACAGCCGCATTTCTGGAGGTTATGAAAATGTCCCAACCGATGACATTCATATGAAGCAAATAGGACTGGATAATGAATGGCTGCATTTCATACGAGAGTTCATTGCCCCAGTAACACTAAAAGTCTTTGCTGGCTACTATACCAAGGTATGTGTTAAAAGCTTCTGCAGAAATGACTCCATGGTGTGACCAAATTTAATTATTTTAATGATTATCGCTGTTTGGTTTGGTTGGGAGTTTGTATGTGGCATAGCAGTAGTTAAAGATGAATGTTGTTGATTTTTTCTTTTGACTAAGCTTAAGCAAAGCTTAGTCAAAGAATCCTGTGTATGACTTGGCAGTTCACAGCTGGAAGTCTGACTGTGTGTTTTGTTGCAGGGTTATGCTCTGCTGAACTTTGTTGTAAAATACAGCCCTGACAGACAGCGGTCGCTCCGACCTCACCATGACTCCTCTACCTTCACGATCAACATCGCCCTCAACAAAGTAGGAGAGGACTTCCAGGTGAGTTACTGACTTAAAACTTGTCCTTGGAGTATCTAATATTAGAACCCAAACACAGATACTTAGAGACCCAGCTGAGAAGGAAAAGATGCACATCACAAATTGAGTACATTATGCCTTGTGGTTTTTTGACAAGCACTAAATTTGCTCAACTCCAGGATCCAGAACTGTTGATGCAGTCAGGCTGGTTTCAGATGGTGGGAGAGAAGTGGTTTGAAGAAAAATTTAGGAGATGTTAGTCATTTCATTTTAATTCTGAAATGCTTCATTTCTGTACAGTGAAAACCAGTTTTTCAAAAGAGTTTAAATAGTGTCAAGTTGACTCAAGTGGCTTCTTTTCTGTAGAATTTTTCTAATGGTTCTTTTTTAGATCAGCCACAGAATGAAGATTTTTAAGTCTTGTATCTGTTTAAGTTTTTTATGAGCTAAATTATTTTCTAGTGTGATATTGATTCAAATAAGACAGTCCACAGAGTGTGGAGCTAGGCAGGGCAGTTGCAATAATATCCAACTTTTACTTACAGAGAAATTTAACCTGTTGTGTTTATAAGCCTTTATCATTCATAGTACTTAACACCAATAAATGTGCTTGGCACACTTACTATTTTAAAAAGCACACCTACAGAGTGAAATCAGCAGCCAGATTAATTAATTTAAGATTTATTTAAATGCTGTCCTGGTAGGGATGCAGTCCTGAAACACGGCCTGTGAACACAATTTGCTTCTCTCTGGTAGAATCTGTAGTGAAGTTATTGAAGATCTGTTTGTCAGATTCATTGCTTGAATGAGTTGTTATGCAGTGAATGCTAAAGCAAGACAAGAGGAAATCTGATTGCAAATGCTTGTATGTTAACTAATGTTCTAAAGATAATGTCACATAAACAAGCTTGCTGAGTTATGGTAAAAGTAAAAAACCCAGCTTATTAATAATAGCAAATTATTTGAAGTAATGAGTATATAAAAATGAATTTATTAAAGCACAAGATAAATATTTGGGATTTATTGTGTTTGTGTTTTTACTACAGGGAGGTGGATGTAAATTCCTTAGGTACAACTGCTCCATTGAGTCTCCCAGGAAAGGATGGAGCTTCATGCACCCAGGAAGACTTACACATTTACACGAAGGACTTCCTATCTTGAATGGCACAAGATACATTGCAGTATCATTTATTGATCCTTAATTTTATTTTTCTTTGTCCTCTTCAACAGCAGTGTTCTTTACATAAACATTTATTTATAGATCTCTTCTGGAAGATGGTGATAAAAGAAACTAAGTTACTGTTACTAGACAGCAGAGATACTTTGGGCTAAAAGGAGGAAAACAGAAAATGTTCTAATATTGTTGGAGATTTCTTGATATCTGCTCTGAGCCTTGAGTCCCAAAGTAAACATGTCCTACTTGTTTTTCCATTCTGCTGTCCTAAAGAGTGGATAAGGAGAGAAAATGGAAAAGCACAGTGAACCCATTTCTTCGTTGATAAAAACCCAAACCCCAAGGAATGCTAAATACAAAATCATTGGAAAAATTTATCGTGGTTTTCATTCAGTTAAGTGACACAGCTAAAGTTTGGTGGTCTGTGTATTTGGTACCAACCAAAGAAAGGAAAATCACAGCATAAAAACAAAATCAAATGAATCTTGTTTACAGTTGTTTCTGGTAAGCAATAATGCCATATGTTGGTTTATACTGAAGGGAAAACGTCTCTGTAGCCTGGTCGCTTAATTCATTGTCAATACTGAAATGTACACCCTTAGAAGGAAAAAAATAAATTAATTGCCAATATGGGACGAGGATTAAATCCTTTATCTAAGGAGAAAATGTTTTATCATTCGTTCTGAGAACTTATCCTGTTGAAAGCTTACTTTTCTTCAGCAAGTGACCTTTGTTTAAAGTGAGTTATTTTTCTAAATGTGTAGTTGCACCCAATGGATACTGGAAATTTGATGCTTATTTTCAGAATGCTGGTCAATTTTAATAGGATGTTTTATAGGGACAGTTTTCTACTCTTAAAATTACTTGAATTTTGTATCAGGAAAATGAAATGGTGGCAGTCTCTTTTAAAGCTAAGGGTCTTAACTTGACATTTATTTTGAAGAAATTGGTTTAAAATATTCCTACTGTATCTACTGTTTGTAATTTAAAGAAACTTGAAGCTAACTGTCTCAAAGTCTACCGTGCCAAAATGCACGACATGTTGGAAAACCTTGAGAAAAATAAAAGGTAATTTTAAATTAATGGAGCAGCTGTTACTTGACTGTATCAGGTAGTTTCTTTGCATTTGTGACTGTTCTTAAAATAATGATTGACTGACAAATATTTTCTAATGACCTGTAGAGGGGAGCTGGGCATGTCAGATTTTGGGTTGTTTGCTGTTAGAGTTATTTCAGTGAGTGCCTGTGTACCAAGCCTTGCATTACACTTTTAGAACAACCCCAGCAGGAGTGATGGTTCCTGGGTTTGTTTTTCTGTGGAGGCTGTTTGATGATCTAAGCAGTACTTCACTCTTTAACTGTGTATCTTTGAAGAAGCTTAATATCTCATTTTCTAAACAGAAACTTTGTTTGCAGCTGACAGGATTAGGAGAGTGTTTCAAAGATTTTTCTTTTACTGAAAATAACCACATCTGCTTATGTCCCTGTTCTGCAGTTTTGAGGAATGAGCTTTAACCATATTTAAAGTTATGCTGAAGCAAATACATCAAAGTGAGTTAACCTCAATCATGTATTAAAATGAGCTGGCTTGAAAAGGAATGGCTTTTGACAGGAAATTTTTTGCTTTCTTCTAATTTCTCTTTACACTGTCAACTTTTCTGCTTTTCAGGCTAATATTTGGGGGTTGCTATCCCACAGCTTTGTTTCCTGGTGTGGAACAGCTGTCTCAGTGTCTCTCTACTGCCTGTGCTTAGACAAACCTTACAGATAAGAAAATCTTCAAGCCTTCAGAATGAAGCCTTTGTTAGTCATCTTTTTCTGAGCATTTGTCTGTGGTCTCTTAGGCTAACTTAGAACAGAAGAATATTTTTTACCATTGGATCAGTTAACAGGCAGTTTATTGTTTTGAGGAGATTTCTTGGAAAAAAATCACAAAAATACTATCCTGTAGCACAGGGGAGTTTCTGGATTTCTGCAAAATTTATCCTCCTCCCCATAACTTTTATTTTAGTTATGTATTCTGTAATTCTCAGCAAAATGTCTCTTTTTTTAGTGTGTATTTTGCCTCAAGAAAACCCCGAGGCTTTAATTACTGCTAAATTTTTGTTTGCAACTCTTAGTTCACTCTGTCACTTAGTGACAAGTAACTCTGTGTTTACTGTGCTGCACATTTGTTGGAAGGGAAAATGTGTTTGCCATGCTTGAGTTACTAACATTCTCTTATTTCTTCTCTCAATAAAGTATTTGCAAAGGGTGGCAGCTGCCTTTCAAGTGGACAGCAACAGGTATGAAAGTGTTCTTATTAACTTCTTGGGAACTCACACATGCCAGGAAAAGAATTTTTTTTTCTGAACAGTTCACCTGAATTAATTCTGAAAGCTTTGCCATGCTGTTGGAATGTGAGGATATGAAATCACATAGACTAAACACAAGTGTCGCTATTAGAAGATTCTTTCTATATTTCATTACTTTTAACAGCACTTAGACTGTCGTGCCTCTTTAGCAAAGTTTGTTTTGAGGCATAGAACATACAGCAGCAATCTAAATTCCAGCAGTGTATGAGAAACCTCAGGAGTACAGGGACATAAGGGTGCTCTGCAACAGATGAGGCATTTGTAAAGTATTTGTTTGTTCTGCTTTCATCAAGCTTCACTTTTCACTGTTAAGTGCTTGGAGAGACTGTGGTGTGAGTAAGAGAACAGTATATAGTTAATAGATTTCTGAACTCTCCTTTTTCTTAAAAATACTGAATATAGCTTGGTTTTATTTCATATTTGTGAACTATTCCAGCTGTACTCCTAAGAAATGTTCAGCGCTTTTGGTCATGTTGTTGCACATTTAATCTTATTTAACCTCACTGTGCAACAAGTAATTCCAACATCTATTTGCCAGTTCATTTTTTTTGTTCCCAAAGGATTCATGCTTACTGTGAGTGGGTAGGAGTAAGACTGACAGCCCCAAAAGAATAGTTTGTTTTCAGTGAGGCAATAATAATGAAATCTATTTGATTGTGCCTGTTTCTTTATAATGACTTTTCCCCTACATCTGCTGTATTCATGGACTAAATGCTAATTCAATGCAGGGCTTCCACAGCAGCTTCTCTTTTGCAGCAGATAGAGATATTAAAGAGACAGAAAATTTAGTAAGGACCTTTGTACTTCTTTCCTCCCATGTGCATGGAACCAGTTTTGCTTTTGTTTCTCTGTTTGAAAGAACTGGTTTAGATTTTTATTTTCAGCTACTGCAGTGAGCTTTTTGAAGAACTTCAGTTTTATTTGATTTATTTCTGATATGGTCTTCAGTGGATTCAGTTCTGGAATGAGTAAGTATGTTTTTGAATCTTTTCCTCTGTGAATTCTCACTTTCTTGCATGGCAGAGTAAGCTGCTCTGCTATTTTTGAGAGTGGAAAGGAAGACAATACCTGTCTCAGCAGCCCCTATGACTGAGGTGTCAAATAAATTACTTTATTACTTTTTCCAGGATTCTTTTTGGATTCCACAGCAGACTATGAATTGGAGGGCAGAGCTTTCACAAAATACATTTGTAGAATTGATATTGGTAGTTCTTAGAGATGATATTTACAGTAATAGTGTTAACTGTAGAGTTGGAAGTATAAGTAATTAATTTATGGCTGCCAGGATTTTGTTGTACCTAGATGGTGGAAGTGCCACCTAAATTACTTTCTTTATTTTAATGTAAGAAGTTGGAATCTAATAAAGCAGATAGTCTTGCTCAACAGTGCTAAGAACCTAGGTCAAAACCTTAAATACAAATGGAAAGAGAAGCTTTTTTGTTCTTCAATGAAATATTTGGCACTTTGTCCCTTTTTTTCTTCTTTTCTTTTTTATTTCTCTTCTGTTTGTAATTCTCTTCCTATTTGACATATGGGTCAAATCTTTATAAGTGCATCCCACTTACAGTGTGGTGGCTGTCTTTTGTTGTATTTCAGGGCTAACAGAAGGAGGAAGGGATGGGTGGAAAGTCAGAATTCACCCTATATAATTCCTTCCTTCTGCAGCTGTTTGCACAGAGCTGTGTTCCTACAGCACATCAATCCTAAACTAACAGGAGGAGGTCTGAGAAGCACTTGATATCCTGGCATGATGCAAAGGCTGTTAAATGCAGGATCATCTTTTTCTCTTGGCAATTTAGTGCTTCTGGAAAGTGAGTTTTCTGGATTAAGCTTCACTTCACCAGAGCTGTTTCAGCTGTGTTAAAGTAATGCCCCTCAGGATTATTTTGCACAAGGATCAAATGTAAGATCAGCTCTCTGATAAAATCATATTAGTCTTAAGTTATTTAATAGAGTGTGGAAACAGTTCAAATGTAGGATTTCAGTCAGCATGATTACAGCCTGTATTGGCATCAGTGCAGCTGCAGAAGCAGCAAAGCTGAGAGCCTGGCCACGAGGAGGGTCTTGGCCTGCGGTGATGCTGTGCTGCTTAGGCAGTAAAGAAAACTGTGCTTTCTTGAAAAAACCTGCTCGTGTTGTGGGTCCTGTGCATCCCTTTGCACTTGCCTGCTGCACTTCTGTTTTATGATTGTTGAATGTCTGAGTGCCTGAGGTTGGCAAGGGAGATGTATAGTCATATAGTAACAGACTCAGGAACTTGTCTGCTGGCCTCAAACCAGAGTTCTCCTATTTCCCAGAATTTGCGCAGTTGTGAGAGGAGTTGCTCAACTACCAGTGACTGTACCATTTTGTTTCTGCAGTCTGTTGAGAGAGAGGAGCAGAGAAAGAAGGAAGGGAGCAGAATAAATTTTTTATAAGCTACTTCCTTGCTGCAATGTCTGTAGTGTAGAGAGGGCATGAAAGCATTGTGTTTTCTGAGCCTGAGCTGGAATGACAATCAGTGTGAGCAATAGTGACAATCAGTGAGCAGTAAGGTAAGCCCATGAGATGGTTTACCATATTTAATAGTTTAAAACACCACGACCTACCCTTCAGAGTGGGATTTGCTGACACTTGAGGCTTTAAGCTTCCTCAGACATGGGTCACTGGTCTCTCGCAGTGTACGGTCATCACTGTGTGTGAAGAGGAGGTGTGCAGCCTTGCTGTTTTCCACTTCTCCATGTCTCTAGCAGCAGGACTGGCAGAATAACTGCTCGGGTCTTTGTTCCTTAAAGCAAACTGCTGACTGGTAACAATTAGCACTCTTCTGTAATGGGAAACTTCAAAGTGTTCAATTTGTGATGTTAATATTTGAATGATAGGTCTTTCTCCACCTCTTGTAGTAGCAGTCAGGATGGAGAGATGGAATTGGTGAGGGTACCAGAGAGAGCAAACTGCATCCTGCTCTGATCCCACAGTAAGCACACTGATTAAAGAGAAATCTAGGGTTTACTGCTAGAGTTTGATCCAACTTACTTGCCCTAGGATGTGTATAAAGAGCTTAGAGAAAATGGAGTGTGCTTTTTAAGGATTAACTCCTCTGATGTTTTAGCTCCTAAATTATATCAAGTCTCTGAGCTTATGAGAGATGAAGATTTGGGAGGGTTAACTTGCTTTTTCCTCAGAGACTTCTAACACAGATATGATAAGAAGTGTATTACACTTACTTCTGTAAGAAGTGCCTTCTAAAGGAAGGTACTCCAGCATGAATCAAATAGAATGCATGAGAAGCTGGGGCAGAAAGTATTAAGTACAAGCTACTAGAAGCTAGATTTATCTTTGGCAGGGCTGGGAGAATGTATGAGGTGGGCGGGAACAGAGCGCCACAATGAACTTCTGGTACAGCCAAATTTAGAGACTCATCATCTCTGAATCACTTTTGTACACTGTGATTCACCAGGGAGCTATTTCAAGCATTTGGTCATTGTCTAAAACATGTGCCACGTAAAGTAGGCTAGGTGCTGGTGTATAAAAGAGTGATTTGCTAACAATTTGCTGTAGAATTCCTAGATCCAGCTGTCACAGACTTGTCTTTGCTGTGCCATCAGGAATTGCAAACTGGAGATTTTGATAGAGTTACTTGAAAACAGAGGAAATTCTCAGTTCTTATACTTCAATCACATCTGTTAATCTGCATGAGAGCATTTTGGCCACATGTGCTATGAACTTTTAGTTCTGTTAGCCTCCTTGC